GTTCACAGAAGGAGGCTGTTGGAAAACTAAGCCAGTGGCACCAGGTCCACATTGGAACCAGGGCCTGAGGGTGTCCAGACAGTGCCTGACAAAGAACCACATTCCATGAGGCCCACATATGTCAGGTCTCACAGTGGAAAGCTGTCTCATAAAAATAAAAGGAAGCCAGGCCTAGTGGTATACGCCTTTAATCCCAACACTCAAGAGGCAGAGGAAGAAAGATCTCTGAGTTTGACTCCAGCCTGGTTTACAGATTTAGTTCCAGGACAGGTAGGGCTACACAGAGAAACCCTGTCTTGACAAACCAAATGAAACAGAACATAGATGTGGTGGTGTCAAAGAAAATGGCCCCCAAAGGGAGTGGTACTATTTGGAGGCATGGCCTTGTTGGCAGAGTGTGTTATTGTGAGGGCAGGCTGTGAGGTCTTTTTCTCAAGCTTCCCTCAGGTAACAGTTGGTCAATTTCCTGTTGCCTACAAGATGCAGGACTCTCAGCTCCAGCACTATGTCTCCCAACATGCTGCCATGCTCCCATCCATGTTCACAATGGACTGAACCTCTGGAACTGTAAGTGAGCCACCCTTAGTTAAGTGTTTTCTTTATAAGAGCTGCTGTGGTCATGGCGTCTCTTCACAGCAACAGTAAACCCTAACTAAGACATTAGATTAGAGTATATGGGTTAGTTTGTTATAAGAACTAGTTAGAAACAAGCCTAAGCTATCGGCCGAGCTTCCATAATTAATAATAAGTATCCATGTTGTGATTTGCCAGCAGGGACAGAGAAAGTCTCACTACAAATGATGCTCAACATCCAGGCACATATTTCTACATAAGACCTGAGACAGCTTAAAAAAAGTTTCCAAACATACAAAAATGGAGCCAAACACGGCTTCCTAGTCCTGCAGCCTCTCACATGGTACAGAAATGAAGCTCTGGCCACTACCTGCAGGCTTGAGCCACCAGTGAACCATGAGCTAAGCTACTCAGTGGTTTAAGGTTTTGCTCATGGACAGAAAAGGTTACAGATACACAGTAAAGCAGATTCAGACAGACAAAACCTCTAAACAGGTTACAGTGTGTTTAACAATGTGCATAAGTTTAAGAAAAATAAAGAAAAAATACAGACAGTACTAAAAAAAATAAGCAGTTTTAAAAAATAGTCTTTAAAGAGAGAAGTCATAAAAAATAAGCCATGTAAAGATGGGAACAATGATAACACAAGGAGTCATATGGAACTTTATTAATTTTGAATTTTTTGATTGCTAATGAACAAACTACAGCTGCTGAGAGACACTGGACTGTGGAAGGGACTCCTGAATTAAACCAACCTATATACTTTAGGAATGCCTTGACTTAGTCATCAATAACAATCAAACATATGGTCATGGTAGGTGTGCTTTCAAGGTAATAAAGAGATGTTTTATAGAGATAGGTGATCTTCAAACACTTTAAAGACCTACAGAATATGACATTTAAAATGTTATAATAACTTAACCTTTTTCATGACAATGAGACACATCTGCTCCTGGCAGAACCAATTTACTTCAGAGAAGATGATGGGTATCGAAGAAACTCCATATAGAGTTTGCTTTCAAGGTGGCAACAGATGTGGGATAATGCTCTGTACACTGTAGAGATTTGTTACTTGATTGGTTTGATAAAATGCTGATTGGCCAGCAGCGGGGAGACTAGGAGAATTCTGGGAAGAGGAAGGGTGGAGTCAAGGACTCACCAGCCAGATACAGAAGAATCAAGATGAGAATGTTGTACTGAGAAAAGGTGCCAAGCCACATGGCTAAACATAGATAAGAATTATGGGTTAATTTAAATGTAAGAGCTAGTTAGTACTAAGCCTGATCTATTGGCCAAGAATTCGTAAGTAATATTAAGCCTCCAACTCAATTATTTGGAAAGTGGCTGCTTGGTATTTGAGAGTTGTTGGCTGGACACAGAAACTTAAACCTAGAGCAAGAATAGCCATTTGGGCAAGAAACTGGTCTTGTCTTAACTGACTATGGTGATGTTTTATTTGTATTAAAATGTTATTTGTATGTTAATAAATAAAGTTGCCTGGGGGTCAGAGCTATTAGCAAGCCATAGGAAAAAGCCAGGCAGTGGTGGCGAATGCTTGTAATCCCAGCACTTGGTAGGCAGAGCTGGGTAAGTCTCTGTGTGTTCAGGGATACAGCCAGCATTGGATACACATGCCTTTAATCTCAATACCAACCACAGAAGACCTGGAGGTCTATACAGACAGGCAGTGATGAGGCAGTCATTTGGTTGGGTTTACAACCAATGAGAAGGCAGAACAGGAAGTCTATATAAAGACTTCAACATAGGAAGTAGCTCTTTTTCTGAGAGGTAGGACCACCGCAGGAGGAAGGGTAAGGTTTTAGCTCTTAGCTCTGACCTCTTGGCTTTCTTCTTTACATTGGTTCTGTGTTTCTTATTTAATAAGATGGTTGGTTACATCTATAGCTGACAGTGTGCTGTACAAACTGAACAAGCAGGACACAAAAGAAAAAGATTGTTGAACTTTGCCAAGACAAGGTGGGACAGTCCTTCAAAAATTCCCACCTCACAGAAAAGTCTGTCAGATAATCTGGGCCTGTAGGCTGAAGATGGATGCCCTGGCATTACAGAAGAACCCTGGGGTGACTCACCAGGCAGCCAGATGTCTCTGTCATTTTATAGTTTTGGAAGTTGCTTGCTCAGCACTTTCTGTTTACTCAGGTGATATTATATCCTTCTCAGGTCTCTGATGGAGTTGAAGACTAGATAGTTACAGTTACAGTTTCCCTTAGTCATGACAGAAAGTGAATTAGGCACAAAACTTTGGATTCATGAAGAGAGGACAGATAATTGATGTTTTTCAATAAATTTGCCAAATATCAATGAACTGGAGATTGTAAATGTATTTCTTACTTGGTAATTGGTCTTATTGTATGTATATTGCATTCTTAGAGTTAAAACCTTTCCTCTTAATTTAGACAAAAGGAGAAATGTTGTGAAATAATCTCTTTGTACTCTGTGAAGAAGCATCACTCTCATTTGTTTAATAAAAAGCTGAGCAGCCAATAGCTCGTCAGGATTTCCAGGCACAGAGGACTCTGGGAAGAAGAAGGGCAGAGTCACCAGGAGATGTTGAGGAAGGGTAACATATAGGAGAAACTAGAGATGTAGAGCAATCAGCAATCATGGGCTTTACAAGGTAAAGGTAAACAAGTCAGGAAAAAGAATGTAGATTAAAATATATGGGTGAATTTAAGTTATAAGAATTAATTAGAAACAAGCCTAAGCTATCTAGTGAGCTTTCATAATTAATAAGTCTTCTTGTCTGATTTGGGAGCAGGCCGGTGGGACATTGTAAGACCAGCTACAATCTTCACTCACACTTTATGAGTCGGTGAGATCAGGGAGTTGAATGTCCCAGGTGTGTGGGACCCTGGATCTGGTAACAGCTGGCTCCTGAGTTCCTCAGGCCTGTGCAGTATGGACCCTGGGCAGAGGTAATTCTCATGGCAGAGGTACACACTGGGGATTTGAGGTTTCATCCCTGTTCAGTAGTGTGGAGAAAAAGTAAGTATATAAATCTTTTCTTTCTGTGGATGTTGACTTGATGTCTTCAAATCCCAGCCACACATAACAGAAGTAGAAAGTGAAAGCAGAGGAGAGTGGGATTCCAGCACGGGGAGTCACAGATAACACAGGGTCAAAAGTCCTTGACCAGAGCTGTGAAAACTCCAGTCACCTCCCGATGCAGGTGTCCACGGCAGCCCCACACCCTCACCAGGACTCCGACAGCACCTGTTTCTGTGAACACTCATTTTAAGTGCTGTGTGTATTTTATCTGGAAACTTCGTGCTCTTAGGTTTCATCCTGACTAACCTGAGGAGACAGTTGTCCTTATGCGGCTCAGAGACACCATGACACA